CCTAATCATGTGTGTTTGTTAAAAAAGGCTTTGTATGGTTTAAAACAATCACCTAGGCAATGGAACATTAAATTTGATAATTGCATGAAAAACTTTGGTTTTAAGAGAAGTAATGCTGATCACTGCTTGTACTTCAAGAACACTTTCTCTGTTCCTGTTTTTCTTCTCCTTTATGTGGATGATATGCTAATCATTAGTCCTAGCTTAAAGTCTATTGAGCATGTTCAAAATTATCTTTGCAAAAATTTTGACATGAAAGATTTAGGAGATGCTAGAAAAATACTTGGCATGAATATTGTTAGGGACAGAAAGAAATCTACTCTTGTTTTAAATCAAAATTCCTACATTGATAAGATTTTGAGTAAATTTGCTATGTCTGATGCTAAACCTGTGGATGTTCCTTTAGCTGCTCACTTTGTGTTGAGTAAGGATATGTGCCCTAAAACTAAAGCTGAAATTAATGAAATGAAAAGTGTACCTTATTCGAATGCTATTGGTTCTGTGATGTATCTTATGATTAGCACTAGGCCTGATATTGCTTATACTGTTAGTTGTTTGAGTAGATACATGTCTAATCCTGGTATGGCTCATTGGAATGCTCTAAAATGGCTTTTGAGATACTTAAAATCTACTAGGAATGTTGGTTTAACTTTTTCAAGAAGTGATAAAAGTGTTAAATTGATTGGCTATGTGGATTCTAACTATGCAAACGATAGGGATAATAGAAAATCTACTACTTCCTACGTGTTCACTTTGTGTGGTTCTTGCATTAGTTGGAAATCTCAACTTCAACACATTGTTGCTTTATCTACTACTGAGGCTGAGTATGTTGCAGCAACAGATGCTTTTAAAGAAGCCATTTGGCTTAAAGGTCTTTTATCTGAAATATGCTTGCTCGATAAGAATGTGGTTGTTTTTTCTGATAGTCAATCTGCCATTCAACTATGCAAAAATCCTGTTTTTCATGATAGAACAAAACATATTGATGTTAGGTTTCATTTTATTAGAGACATAGTTGAAAAGGGCATTGTCATGTTGGAGAAAATTCCTACGGAATCTAATCCAGCTGACATGGGTACTAAGTGTTTACCTGTTAAAAAATTTACCTTATGTCAAAAGATTTTAAACCTATCTCTGTGAGTGTGTGCTGATCTTTTGTTCTTTTTTTTTATAGTCTTTGTGACTTTTGCTTTTCTTTTGTTTTTGAACTCGATGACCCAATGGTAGAGTTCGGCTCTTCGTGAGTTATTTTTGGCATGCTTTGTGATGTTGCCTAGTCTTCGTGACTTGAGAGTACTTAGTGAACTCTCCACCATTACGTGTGTTCTCATTTGTTGATTACACATTTAGTGGTTATTAGGCTATGATGAGTCCCGCGGTTCCTTGTCAAACTATGTGCACTACTTTGGGCCAAAAGTGGAGATTGTTAATTTATTTGGGTTGGCCCAAACATATTAATAATATTTGACACCCAACCCAGCAGCCCATTTACTCAAGCCCAATCTATACTCCTTAACCTAATTAAGCTTGCCTTAATTACCACCCTAATCTCCACTATATATTGAGGGGCTGCCTTTGTGTTTCTTCACCGTACAAAAACTCCTTTTCTCTCTTTGTGAGACTTCCGTGTGGGTTTCTTTCTTCCTTTGTGAGTTGATCTCAGTTCTTCTCTGTTTCTTTGTGAGTGGAGTGTGGCGAGGTTGGGTTGGGGTGTTGCTCCTTTTGGTACCCTTGTAGTGCACAACTACGGACCGAATTTTACGGGTGACCTGAGCCTAATCGGAATAAATAAATACACACAACACATCGCAATCAAACACACAAGATTTTTTTTAAGAAACTGCAAAAAAGAAAAAAAAGGAATGAATTGCGAAATTTATGAAGAAAAATTTTAAGAAACTTGTTGTACTCTGTGGTGATCTTGGTAGATGTCGATCTGAGTGAATAACCGTAGAGTTTGAGCGGCGTAGTTTTGTAAAGAAGGTAAGCGCTACATACATGGGAAGAGAATAATTCAACTCTTAAAACTAAGGAAGTGAGTGAAATTATTAAAAAGGTATAGTTGGAATCCCTTCACGCTCGAACTTCCATTTAAGTCAAAAAATTAAAGTTATTTATGTAATATTGGTGGTTTTAAAGTGATACGTAGGGAGATTTCTTAAATGTGAAAGAAGATTTACATTTTACATGTGTACTCTATAACCAAAAAAGAATAACTCTAAATTGTCAAACAATATAACTTGGTGTCTATAATTGATGAGGTTCATCCTTTTTTTAATAATTAAAACCTCTGTCTCAGTGTAGTTGTTCAATTTGAATTTTTTGAGTCAACTGGACAAATTTTGAATTTTAATTTATATTGCATATTAGTACAATAAAATAAAATTTTGAAAATTCTCATCAAAATAAATCTAATAAGAGGTGACAATAACATTTTATTTTATCAAATATTTAATCAAAACATGTAAATAAATAAAAGTTTATGTGATTTTTGAACATGAAAGTGTAATTCTTTTTTGGATGGATGAATTATACAATTCACTTTTTGTTAATCAAATGCTCCATAATTAATTAAAGAATATTCAGAAAAGATGGAATCAAATGGAGTATGTAGTAGTCCATTTCTTAGGAATAAAAATAAAAATTTATGTAAGAAAACTCATGATAAATTTTTTAAGTGTAATATAGAAGTACTCATTAAAAAATGAACATGTGATTTACAATTTTATATCTTCTAAATAAATTCCAAATATGCATTTTTTAATTAATAACATTTTTAAAAAAAATTGTATATATATAAGTCATGAAATTTATTTTGAGACAATAGAAATTTACAAATTCTTAGGTCCCGTTTGGTAAATGGAATTCAAACTATGGAATTAGAATTGAGGACTTCAATTTCAATTCTGGTGTTTGGAAACACAAAAATTATGTGGATTTAGAATTGATAATGCAAAAAATGAATTAGAATTCGTGAATTCAATTCTGTGAAATTGAATCTCATTAAAATTCAATTTCAATTCAATTCCAATTCCATCAATTCCATATATTCCAAACGGACCCTTAAAAATTTTCCATTCAGATTTTTTTCTCGAGAGAATTGTACATAGCACCACCTTCACCAATGGGTGGATCCTTTACTTTAATAGGAAGAAATCAAGATTCACACAAAGCACCACCCATTTAAATTTCCTTATAGAAGACCCCCCAAAACTCTAGCAAATAGCGATTCAACCCCCCACAAAAAGTGGAATAACAATAATGCAAAATTTGATTTTTTTTTCTTAGCGGGCAGCCGGGCACATACATTCTAATCTTACAAAGTACGGACAACGTTTTCACTATTACTGAAAGAACCCCAACAACGACAAGATATTGCAGAACAGTCCCCGTAGAACCTCAGATTCACTTTCCGGCCCCTCTCCCAATCATTTCTTTGTACCTCTAAGGATGGAATCTAGCCTCTGCATCTTCAGCTGCTGCTTGAACCGGTTGATGAAGTCGTCGGCCCTCGCGTCCACCTCCAGATCCGCCGCCTTCCCTCTCTCCTTCACCGTCGCCGGCCGCCGGCGCTCCAGATTTCCGCCCCCCTCAAAAGGGTTGACCCGCGATTTCACGCTCGCCGACTTCTTCATCCTCTCCGGCGAATCCTCATCTGCAGATGTCTTGACCTCCGGCTGACTCTGGCTCTCCGGCCGCCGGTTCAGTCTTCTGTAGACTTCGTCCATGCTCTCCCGCTCCTCCTCCTCTTGCTGGAATGTGTAGTGGGTAAGCGATTCTTCCTGGTGGTACTCCTGCCGGAAAATGTAGTGGGTCGCCGGAGATTCAAGAACCGGCGAATCTTGATGGGTGTGGTGAAATTGGGATTCTTCGAAGGTTTGGGGGTGCGGGTGGGCGTAGGAATCCGGGGAGGATTTGAAGATTGAGGTCTCGTGGAATCTGAAACTGGAGAAATTGATGGACCTGAGGCGGTGGAGAACAGAGGGGGACTTGTCAAGATGATGGTGATGGGGTTCCTGATTCTTCTTTGGGTGTTTATGTTTGTTGCAGGAGAGTGTGGAGGAGAGAGCAATGGTCCCAATCATGAGGTTGAGGAGGAGGAAGAGGACTGTGGGGGTGAACCAGCTGGCCATGGATGACCAGATGGAAGAAGAGTTCATGTTCATGCTGGCTGCATTGGTTTCCTCAAGCATTTTGGAAGAAGATGAAGAAGAAGAGAGAGGATGGAGATGATGATGAAGAGGAAAGGTTTGGAGTGTTTTTGAAGGATATTTTGATGAGGGGAAAGTGATGATGCTTTGGTGGAGATATATGGGGCATTGGTTGTTGGGAGTTGGGGGCTTTGGTGATTGTTGGCCTCTTTTATTTGTACACTAAGGCTAAATTTAATTATATAGTATTAAAATATAGATAATTTTTCAATGTAGGATAATGCTCTCTTCGTCTGAAAATGTTTTCTCATTTTCATTTTTAATTTGTATATCCCGAATTTTTTTCCATTATTTTTTAGTATACTCTTTATGGATAAATTTTAATAATATTCTTTGATTTTATCATTAATCTACTTTTATTTATTGTTTTTTAATAAGAAAAAGAGATTTAAAGGTTTATAGCATGTCCATTTTTGGAGATTTGGCATTTTTTACTGTTCATTAATAAGCGTGCCAAATCAACACGGGAAGAACATTCCCGGACGGAGGAAATATGTTTTAGTTTTCCAATGTAGTACTACTGTTTAATGACCACTGGATATTATTCGAGTGAATGTCCGCCATATTGTTCAAAGTAAATGTCCACTGCCACTAGATATTGTTCAAAGTAAATTTCCGCCGTCACTGGATATTGTTCAAAGTAAATGTCCTCCGCCATTAGACATTGTTCCCGCCTGGGACATTGTTCAAGTATTCTTTAAGGAAATAAAAATTTTAGATACTATATTGTGAAAAGATATACGCCCTACATCCCAATTTTGATTACAAATTAAGAATTACGAGGTAAAATCTCACAACTTTTGAAATCATATTATTTACATATTGGTACAATAATAAAAAAAATAAAAGTTACATATTAATAAACTACGTCAAAAGATCTACAAAACAAGAGGTGATAAGAGTATTTTATTTTTATTTTATCAACTAATCAATGAAAACACACAAATAAACAAAAGCTATCGAGAACAAAGATGAAATAAAATTGTAATCAAAATTGAGACGAAAGGGGATATATTTAAGTACTACTTCCTCTGCCCGAAAATGTTACTACTCCTTCCGTCTGAAAATGTTCTTTCCATTTAATTTTTTTGGTCAAAATTTGTAAACTTTGACTCCGATATGTGGAAAAAGTACATTGTATTATGATATAACTTTAATATCAGTATATTCCTATTGAAATGTAGTTTTCAAATATCAATTTTTATAAAATATATCTATGTATAGATAAAGATATTAATAGGCAAAGTGTAATATTGGAAATTATGAAAAGTCAAAGTGTAATATTGGAAATTATGAAAAGTCAAATTGAAAGAATATTTTTGGATGAAGGGAGTATTTACTACTAGGTACAAATTTCACATGTATAAATGAGGTGTACCCCTAACGTTCTTTATTTTACTTTTGTGAGAAAAGAGCTTTTTTTAAAAGATTTTTTTTTAAAAAAAAAATCTTAACTTTGCAGATTTTTTCAAAAATAATCTCATCACATTTTTCATTGTGTTGCATAATAATTTTAACTTTATTGAAATTTGTAAGTTTCGAGTTGTCATTAAACTGCTAACCGCTAGTTAACGAAAATAACTCGTTTTGGCTAGTTTTGATAATAGTAAAAAAAATCATAAAAAAGCTATTGGGTTGCCTGACATATCTATGAATAAGGAAGTTGATTACCTATTTATTGAATAAATAATTCCTTAATAACAAGTTGATAATAGAAGAAGGAATAAGGAAATAGCCATTGAAAATGAGGTTTAAAGTGAGGACAAAAGGGCTTTGCAGCATGATAAATACGAACACTGAAAATGAACCTCAAATTTATGTCAATTTACATAATTACTTCGTCCATTTCTTTCACATGCAGTTTGAAATTTTTTTTTAAAAAATATCCCACTTCTTATTCATACTCACAATGAAACGATAAAAAAACATACTCCCTCCGTTCCACAAAATCCTTCCGGTTTTGACTTTGGGGAAAAATAAAGAAAGTGTAATTTTGGTTGACTTTCTAATTTTGCTCCTGATGTGATGAGAAAAAGTAAGATGTGATAGTTTGGTTATTAGTGAAAAAGTATGATGTGATAGGTAGGGTATGAAAAAGTAGGGATAAAAGTGGTTTTTAATAGAAAGTGGAAGTGTTTTGTGGAAAACAAAAAAAAACGAAAGAAGAAGATTTTGTGGAACAGAGGAAGTACAAATTACGATCTCGAAATTTTATATATATATATATATATATATATATATCATAAGTTATCGAGAGTCTATAATGGTAACTAAAAAATTTATTGTTGGACGAAGAAAATAATTAAAATGTGTTGCTTTTACAGAAACAGAATATGTGTACAAAAAAAATCAACTCCTAAAACGAAAAAAAAAATAATCCGCAGAAATTTTAACCACATACAGCAGAGTAATTTTAAGTTTTTAACCATACAAAAATGACGCATGCGAGACACTATAAGAATGGTTTGTCAAACTTAATGACTTTATTTTGATGGAGGGAGTACTTTGTTGGGACATAATCAACAACTAATCACTGTTTAAATTATTGAAATTATTATTCTCAAGTTTATTTTAAAACGCATTTATAGTACCTGAAAAAATAGGACCAGAATCGGCTACCCGAACACAAATATTTGTAACAGAAATGATTCAAAAAGTGAAGATCCGATCTATAAATGAATACCTGAAATAATTCGAATCGAATAGAAACAAAAGTAAATATATTCATAACTAATTTAGATCTGAATTTGATCATGTCCGAAACTAATTAGATCTGAACCGATTAGATATAAAACCTCCGACTATATTCGATAAAGAACATACCCATAACCGAAAAAACTTGAAATTGGTGTCTCGTTATGCATTCTCTATAAGCATACGGATTATTATAATTATGTGCACAAGTGAATAACTATATCTATGTAATTTTAAATTTATTTATTACGGAGTATATTTTACGACACGAATTGATCAGGGTGCCAAGGTTGTTATATACTCCTTCTGTCCCCATTTTGATTACAATTTTATTATCTCTCTCTTCTCGATAATTTTTGTTCATTTGTATGTTTTCATTGATTGTTTAATAAAATAAAATATTCTTGACATCTCTTGTTTCGTAGTACTTTTGATGTAGTTTATAACATATAATTTTTATTTTTCATTGATGTACCAATTTGTAAATAAAATGATTTAAAAATGGTGGAATTTTACATCGTAATTCCCGTTTTGTAATCAAAATAGAGATGAAGGGAGCATATGGATACTCTGTCTGTCCTATTTTTTTTATAATTGAACCTTTTTTTATCAAACTGCTACCCTCTTTGACATTGAAAATGGGAGAGAATTGAGATTGAGGGGAAAGGAAAAATTGGAAAAGAAAATAATGAGTAAAAGTATAAAATATAAAGGTACAACAATATGGAGTATGAGATAATAAATTGATGATACATTGAAAAATATGATATTATAAAGAAGCTAAGGAAACACCGATTTTTCAATTTTAATATAAGGAGTAAAAATAATTTAATGCATACTTGAAGTTAGAACATATTCGACGTATAGTATCTGAAGCCGAAATATATCAAAACTAAAAGATATCTGAAAGTAAGACATATCCAAACTGATTCATATCTGAATCGAATATGAATTGATCCGCTCATCCATCCTAAAAATGTACTCCCTCCGTCCTCAAAACTTTTCCAGTTTTGAATTTTGGGAAGGAAAGATATAGAAATTTGACCAAGGCGAAACGACAAAAATTGAAACAAGTTAAGCTCAAAAAATATCAAAATAGTAGAGCGTAGAAGGTGGTTGATGTACATTCGATTAGATTTAAGAAAAGTAAGTACAATTGTGTCCACTTAAATAAAATTAAAATATTTTATGAGATGAATAAAAAAGTGAAAGTTGAACTGTTTTAAGGGACGAAAGGACTAAAGGAGTATAAAATCAAATTAAATCTGAATTAAAATCAAACCAAACCCGTTGTAATAGATTTTTGATGGACATCCAAACCGAATAAATCCAAACCCGAACTCACTAATGGATTCCATTGCGAGGCCGCTCGCGTGGGAAACGTTCCTCACCGCAGCATTGACCTCATTCCCACGTGACAGCCCTTCGCCACGCTGGCAGTCCCTTATAATTCTACCACGTACCGCCGTTTCTATTCAGACTCCGAGCCCGTCTCCTCACCGTCAAAGGCAAAAAATGGCCGGGAACTCGCCGGAACCCGGTATTGTGCCCGAGTTTTCCGGCGATCTGAAAGAACTTTACGCTATATGCGACGCCGAAGACGAGATTTCTCCGGAGATAGGCGAGGAGATGGTAGAGAGGGTGATGCACGAGCTCCTGAAAGAGATCACCGGCGCCGGCAGTCTACCGCCGTCGCCGTCGGGGGGATTCATGGTCAGCGAGAGCTGCGGGCCGGCGGCGCTTTCTGGGTCGGGCTCGACCGTCATGGCCGGCATTGAGTTGAGCTGCTGCAGCGGCGCGCGGGCTCTCTCTGGTTTCCCGGCGGGTCAATGCGGCGGGAACGGGTCTGGCGTGGAAGAGAGAGTGGCAGGAGAAATGCAGTACACAACCGTGCGAGGCGGTGGTGAAGGCTGTGGCGGAATATTTCCCGACGAAGATGAGTGGCTCACCGTGTTTCTTAGCTATTCCCCGCCGGAGCTTGATGAATGGTTTTGAACCCTTCCCGGGGGGTGCCGGTACGGGTGTTTGTTTTTACTGGCCTAATCTCGTGAAAAATGTGAGGTGATTGACTTTGTTTCAAGAATACTCCATCCCCTCCGTCCCAAAATAAAAATCTTGTTCGATTACTATTATATTTAATTTTCTTTTTGAACATAGCATTATACTCCGTATTTAATAAAGTTATTTACAAATTAATAAAAATTATACTCCCTCCGTCCCTAAATAAACTTCCATTTTTGACTTTTTGAGGATTTAAGGAAGGGATATTTTTGTGTTGACTTTCCAAAAATACCCTTGATATGATGTGTAAAAGTAAGATTTGATGGATAGATTATTAGTAAAAAAGTATGATGTGAAAGGTAGGGTATGAAAAAGTAAGGGGTAAAAGGGGTTCTTTAAGGGAAAAGAGAAGTTTATTTGGGGATAAAGAAAAAACGAAAGGGAAAGTTTATTTAGGGACGGAGGGAGTATATAACAAAGTTACATCGAAATTTCTACAAAAATAAATATTGATAAAACTAATTTATTTTATCAAATAATCAATGAAAATGTATAAAAAAATCGAGTTAGTTTGACATGCGTGTAGTGACTAGAAATCTTTCTAGGTTTGACATGCGTGTAGTGACATGCGTGTCGTTTGTAAAAAATCGAGTTAATTTTCTAGGTTGACTTTTTAATGTAACACTTTGAACATACACACATATATATAATTTTATGTCCATTGACATATTCTAGTGTTGGTTAAGTGGACAACACAACAATAATGATTACGGATATGGACTAGGATTCTACCATATCTGTAGACTATAGTTGTAGTAGAAAATGACTCTAATTTACAAATGACACATCAGGAACAACCGAACACGAATTCAAGTTCAGAGAAGTTAAATTTAGTTATATTGATAATTTAAGAGGAAGCAAAGTAAGATTTGATTTACTGTATGTAAAAATTTCATGTTATGCGCATAGTCGCCGTCAGAGTCGAACTCAAAAATCATCAATTTTGAACTCCTTTGTTTGACTATAAGTTATACCCTAACAAAAAATATTTCATAAAAAAAGATGAACTACATCTTAAAATTCTCTGAGACTCCACTCATACATTTACTTAAAAAGATGTAATGAAATGTGTTTTCAGATAAGGTAACATTATAACAAGATACATGGAACGTGACATGTCACTAATCACAACAAGAACCTTATGCAAAAAAAGGGTGAGCCCCATCTCAGAAGGCCTCTTCAAACCCAGCCGGACGGTCATTGAAAGGAGGTAAATTTGACTTTCACCGTAAATTGGTGGTAAAGAGTGGAGCTTGCACCTGATACTTGCAGAGGTTATATGCTTATTAATATAGTTGCCTCCCGCGTAGTTATCAGAAATCGAACTCAGGTCTAATCCCCTTGGCACTCTTTACTTTTGTCAACTACGTAAAGCCCACCGACAACACGAACCTTAGGCAAAATGCAAAGTATAATAAGATGAGATTCAGCACATGCATGTTCATAAAATGTTCATTGAGGGGTTGTAATTATGACACATAGTACATATTCTGGTAAATATGACTGTACTTTTGTTATTTTTTTTGTTGATAAAAAGCTTTGATGGTAATGTTTCACGAAAATGAACACCAAAAAACATTAGAAAGTATATACTCGTACCACGATTCTATATGTCTCTTTTTTTTTCCTTTCATTAATATTGTATGATCTAAAATCTTGATATTTCGATATGGGACCATTATATTATTACATGTTGGACGTACTTGAAGTACAGTACTACAGTTATATACATTGCTTTGTTTTTTGTGTGTAAAAAAAGCATGGATCATTTATTTATTTGGAAGTAATAAAATGGACCACACGCTAAATTTAATTAAGTGATGGCTACATATTACAACTTACAATACCATACCATTACTATGTAGAGTTTGGCATAACTGGTTAATAAGATATATCAAAAACGTATAAATGTGATCGATGAGCTCAATTTTCAAAAACTACAATGAAAGGCAGACATATTTAGTATGTGATCTCAATAATTAGCTAGCATAACTCACCATTCATGACTGTGAACTCATCATATCTAGTATATGGTCTCTATAAAAAACTCACTATATATTACTCCCTCTCCGTTCCATTTTAAATTGCATAACTGTGTAATAATGACGACCTCATGTTCACATGGTTGTCTTCCATCATTGAGTCAAACGAGGGCAATTTCACTCTTTTATACTCAATTGACCGACTAAGCTAAGACACCCTAGAGTATAGCAATGGTTGAGTCAAACTAAGAAGAAGAATCATGCTATCTAATATCATAAACGTTTAACCGAGTTTTACAAATAAGTGAAACAAGTTCTCAGAAAAACAACTATACCATAATGGCTTAAAGGGTGTTTGTGAGTGCATTAAGTTCTTAAACAAGTAGAAGTATTAAATCAGAAGCAAAATATAGTTAGTTACTCCTAGCTTTGGTGAAAGATACTTCTAGAGCACATTTTACATTTCTTAAGTCACAATTAATCTAAAGCTAATTTGAAAACGCATGAGTATAGCAATGGTTGAGTCAAATTAAGAAAAAGAATCATGCTATCCAATATCATAAACATTTAATCGAGTTCCACAAATAAGTGAAACAAGTGCCCTGAAAACCACTATACCATAATGGCTTAGAGGGTATTTGTGTGTGTGTTGAATTCTTTTTAGTTTTTTCAAGTTTCTTCCAACACCGAGTTCTTTTTTTCCAATCCTAAAGAACATGCTCTAAGAAAAATACTAAATCAGATGCAGAAAATAATTACTCCGAGCTTTGGTAATATGAAAAGCATTCTAGAGCATATTTTACACTTCTTAAGTCACCCTGGATAGAGACTAATTACTCACTATTGAAAGAGGAACAAAAGTACATGGAGAGCAATCACAAACAATACGTTTTTTTTCTTCTTCTTCTTCCTCTTCAGATCAGCCAATAGAAAGCCCAGCAAACAGTGATTCCAACTCCTCATCTTGGGTTTTGGTTCGCTGCAATTAAAATAGGTTAGAAAAAAAGGTTATCTGATACTTTACATAAGAGCACATAAGATAAAAAGATGGAGACCTTAGGCACATAAGAGCAAATGGAGTGAATAAACCACACATGTAGCCAATAAACGGAGTTCGGATTAGATATCGCTCGATAGTACTACCCTCCCAAATGCGGGTTCAAGTCAGATATCTCCACGGTTTTGATATCTCCTCAACCGCCGGAAACCACCCCGTTAGTCATCCATTGCTGCCGGCCACCCCCTGTTGCCAGTCACCTCTCGCATGTTTCTTAACAATTATCATTTCAGATCTCTCTAAACACATTTCATATTTCAAAACCCATATTTTTTTTCTAGATTTCAAAACACATATCATATCAACTCTCCAAAACTCACCAAACGAGCCCTTTGTAAGTTGTATTTTCCCGCTGATGGGTCAATGAATTGAAAATTGTGATCTAGAGGCCCCAAAAATAGTGGTGGCATATCCAAGGGAACAAGTGAGAATGTACTCAGGGCTCGTTTTGTGAGTTTCCGAAGAAGCTTAAATATGGTTCAAATTCAATATCTTCAGATTACACAATCCTCCCAAGTTGGGTGTTTATATATCTCCATACATTTGGGAGTCACAAACCCTTGGTTCTATATCTCTATCAACCACCTTGCATGTCAATACCAATCATCATTTCAACTCTCTCTAAACACTTCCACTTCTTCTATATTCCAAAACTTAGGACCCGATTGGTGAGCGCACGCGATATGGGTTCTAATATCTCTCGATATCAAAACTCTTTTTTGGCAACGGATGAATCATAATTCAGGAGACATCAATCCGGTGGTTGATATCTCCCCCAACCGCCGATTATCCCATTGCCAGCCACCCCTGCCTATCACTTCGAGTTCTTGAGATCTCTCAAAACAACTCCATTTTAGATTTCAGAACACGTATCATTTTTTTTCTTCTCAAATTGCAGAAGTCATATCATATGAACACTCCAAAACTCAACAAAGGTGGTGCCCTAATAGCCAGATCCCTTGACAGAGATTAAGATCAAGCATTATACCTGAATGGACAAAAGCTGCAGGATTTTGTTCAAAACCCGGAATCGATGAATCACGTACGAGCTGTACTGTGGGAGTCCCCTCAATTTGAAGAGTTCTTCCATGATTGCAGCTTCCATCTTCTCCGCACCCGATTTCTCACTGGAAACGCCATCTCTGGGCGGATTAACACCGTCTGCGCCTTCAAATTTCTCGAAATCTTCCATTTTAACTCTGCAATCAAATGACGCAGCAGATTATCAGACCGGAAGAGATGAAATAATGCTCCCACTGGAAGTGCTTAATCCAACGTGAAGAAAGACACACAGAAACTCAACAGATCGGAAAACAATTTGGGGGGAAAATTCGGGTCAGCTGAAACCGGTAGAGATCTACCCGAAATTTGACCCACGGTTCGTTGGTTCCTAGTTTTGTTTGGAAAGATGTTTTTTTCTTTGGAAAAATAAAGTGAAATTTGCACTAAATATGATTAAAACATAATGACTTTCCTAATGTAGGACTTAAATTTTTTTATTCCCTAAATAGGACTTAATAATGACCTTTTGAAAGGAATAATGCCTAGTAATGATGGACATTTACTTAAATAATAACTAAGTACTTGATAATGACCAAAAGTCCTACATTGAGAAATAAAAACATATGGTCCTATATTGAGAAAGTCATTATGTTTTAGTCCTATTTAGGTAAATGGTATGATATTCATATTAATTCAATAGGGACATGAGCATACTCCACACAACCAGAATCAAAATTAGATATCCGAGCTAAACAATCAGACTCAGAATCAGATGCACGAGCTAACATATGAGCTACATGATTCATCGATCTCCTAAAACAGACAATTAAGAGAAGTAAATTTTCACATCATCGTTTTACGATCAGAAATAACATCCATAAAATGAGAATGATTTCTTGTATCCCATGAATTGCCTTGAAAACTACCTCACTATCGATCTCCACAACGACCTCGTGTTGTCCAAGTGATGTCTTCAACCTTTTGAGTGCCTCTGCCATCTGTGCATCCTCAGATCGCCCTAGCCCAAAATATGCCCCACGTACTACCATTACTACCCTCATAAGTTTTGTGTGTGGATTGAAAGTCACATCTACCTTGCACTTTAAGGCACACCCCTCTGGAGCTTTTCATGTAGTCATTTGTTGTCCCGATCCACCTTCGTTCCTCTGTATTATTGTACCTTGTACAATATGTCATTCTTGTAATTCCCAAATTGTTTTAGTTACCACCATTGTTGAAGCCATACACTTATTTTTCCACATGAGTTGGTTACGTTGTCTCTAAATCTCCCAAAAAATCTTCTACACAACACCTTGGGCACATAGTTAATATCTCCACTTCTTTCTTATATAGGTTAGCTCTAACCAGTAGAACCTCATTGAGGTTTCTCCACATGAAATTTCAACCTTCGGCAGAACTTGCATTTTCAACACAAAAGACCCATATTACTTCTAGAAACTTCCCCTAGTCATTGGTCTTCATTGAGGAGGAAACTGTCTCCATATCCAACTATCCTCTTGCTCATGAGTACTCAACGGAATACGTAAGATTTTCTTAATATCGTGTGTGCAAAAGACTATTTAAAGAAGGTCAACACCCCACCTCCGAGTTCTAGGATCAAGGAGGGCCAACACCGGTACCTCCTTCCCCTCCTCCGTATGATTTGACCGGACATACAAGTCTTCTCTCCTCAATAACCATGGTGTATTCAACACCTTCGTTGTCTTACCATTTCCGAGTCACCTTATACAACCTTTTTTTCACAATCTGCCTCCCTTCTATGAAAATATATTTACAAAAATGTTAAGTCTCAGAAATATCAGTTTTTTTTTTTTGCAAAAGAAATTCTTATTCTTTGATGATATAGTTTGTCTTCAAAGCTCAGCGTGAGTAATGGCGAACCTAATAGGAAGAAACTTAACATTTTTATGTACAATGCGATCCATGAAAAATTACATGGTTGGGAAATTAGTAGAAATAAACCCGACCAATCTCGCCTTTCAATTTTTCAAGCGGGTTCAGTTTTATACTAATTTCATACACGTTCATGGTTTGAAAAACCATAGACCACATCAAACCAATATGAATGCCAACAAACAATTATCCAAGAATGGAACAAGAATTTTCATGATATAATCCTGAAGTCTAATCACATCTAAAAACAACTTCACTATATAGCCCATCAAAGTTCACACAACAATACATTTCAGTACATAATAAGATTCAAATAACACATAAACACATAAATATAGGGTTTATCAACCTTGAATACCCAACCTCTAATCATTCCTTGAAGTATGCACCTCTTGTGTATCTAAAGATAAACCAAAGACACCAAACCAATGTAAATGTTGACAAACAATTACCCAATGCTACAGTTTTATTGCATGATGCAACATGTGGCGGGCTCAATTAGCACGGGTTTTTCGCCTGTGCTCCGGCCCAACTACTCGGGGGGGGGGGGNCTCGATTTTACCTTGGGAAAGAATTTTTGGGTTGGTTTTGGGACGGTCTCCTTCGGTTTCCCTTTTTTGTGCTCACTCCTACATCAAAAGTGTCATCTGTTGCTCCACCTTCCTGCAACAATTCTTCGTATTACACAAACAGAAATATTCTGGATAAACATTAAAGAATATTCAGGTAGACCAAGAAACATTTATTTAGAAAGAAAGAACAAACCACAAAATTTACATATTTTTAAGGCGCGTCTTTTTTCAAAGAGGAAAGGTTTTTTGGGGTGGAGGGAATATTTTAGTGTTTTCTATCCGAACAAATATGTGATGTTCAGGATGTCAGCATAAGTGATCTTATAAAGGAAAAAACTGGATGAAAAAAAAGATATCAATTCTCAATATGATTAACAGTTTAGCTTGCATGAACCTTGTTTAAGACAAAGAAAAGAGATTCTCTTAGACTTGAAAAGAAATCTATGGTAGAGTGAAGTAATAACATGTTGAGATAACCTAACAGTTTCCAAACACTCAAGTATGTGCTTAACACCAAACCGTTTTTATATTTAATTCCTTGATTATGCCTACGCCTTCTACCCTTTTTCCTCCATCTGGATATCTTTACATACTCCCTCATTTGGTCTAATTGTCTACTTTCTATAGCACTTAATCTTATAAAAGAATTGGGTCAACAATATGAAATAAACCTTCAAATAAGTTAGTCAATCACGCTTGCTAAGAGAGTATATTGGTATGTTTGATCACGGATTTTGTCAAAATTTACTCGGATTAGCTTTTCGTATTACGTAGTATTTGTCTAACAAATCAGGTTATGTTTTAGAGTTTAAAATCAGGTTTACATTTAGAGTTGTAGGCAGTTTTTCATTTCCATTGCAAGACACCGAAAACAACGCTTTCATTTTGATTGCAAGATACCCAAAACTTTTTATTTGAGTATCAAAACTTTATCCCAAGATCTCCAACTTGAAATTATTTTACTATTAAACTTTATCCCAAGATTTCCACCTTTATCCAACCTTTTTTTTAGTAACATCCATATCATTATTTCATGCTTATAAAATAAAACAATTAAGATAAGTGACACTCATATAAGTTGTAATAAGTTATTATACTTATATGCTTTCTACAGTGGTGGAATGGAATATAATATCACTTCAATAATACTGCCAAATTAATGTGAAAAAACAAACCTTTAACCGCAGACACTGCCCACAGTACAAAAATCCTAGAAGTTCAACCTCTGAACCTATAATTTGAAAGAACGGAAAAAGATCATCGTTGTATTGATGTCTACCAAATAAAATAACTCAATTCATAGTAAACATAGAATAATTCAAATTGGCCAATAACTGTATTACTGCATTTAAAGTACCTTCAGTCTTCAAACAATAATCTTGTTTCACTAACTATTAAATACTCCCAAAAAGGGCCTAAAAGATTCCTACTTACCAACTTTGCTATTGTTTTACACTTCAGTAGTCTTGTGGAGTTGTGGTCGAAAGTTTGGGTTGTATTTTGAACATCAGGACGTCCAAAGTGGCAGGTCTTTTTTCCTACATTGGCAAATAGTTTTTTTAGGAATCATGAAACTATGGAAATTATGGTGGGTTTCTACAACAAATGAAGTGCTCAAGTAAATGTGTATGCATTAAGTGAAAATCTGTGGTGTTTAAGCAACCCACCATTAATTTCAGGTTGGTTTTGGGACAGTCTCTTTCGGTTTCCCTTTTTGTGCCACCCCTACATCAAAGTGTCATCCATTGCTCCACCTTCCTGCAAAAATTCTTTGTATTAAACAAACATAACTATTCTGAATAAACATTAAAGAATGTTTAGGTAGATCAAGAAGCATATATTTAGAAAGAAAGAAAAAAGAATGGATGTCTCACAAAGTTACATAAACATGATTATGGGAGTAGGATTTCCAGGAGAAGGAGGATTTATATTTGCAAGGTCACCGGCTCTGTCAATTAGAGTATTTAGGTCATTTACAGAACAGAGTTGCACATTTTCAACCCCAACTTGTGTCTTGATTAGCTCTAAGTTTTCTTCAAGTAACTTCATCTCTTCAAAGGGAAGTTTCAAATCCAAAGCACGAACGCCAAATTCAGAAGTTTCATCTTGCTTGAATCTTATAAAAGGCATGCAAAGCTCCAGAGGCTGAGATAGGGAGCTCTTCTCCAAGGCATCAAGTATTTCTCTATTGGGTGCAAAACAACATTCCTCCGTATCATACTTGCCCCGCAAGATCCTCAAGCACTCTGCATTCCATCCATCAAATTCCTCTTTGACAACCACTACAACTGATACCCCCAACTTCTTCTCATTGCTTCCTTTCTTTGACATTTTTTTACGAAGCAATTTTCTCATCCGGGATATCAAGTCCTGCATATACTTATTCGCCCACTTAAGATTTAAATCTGGCTCATCAGCTTTAGGCCAACCCGACGCTTTAACTACGAACCCTTCTTTCTCTAAAAGTACCCTCCAGACATACTCAGCAAAATGAGGACACATAGGTGTGATAAGACGGATTTGGACATCCACGAATCGCCACAATAGATCACGGTTCATCCCGGTCGGACCACACATCAATCTGTATTCATCTCGCGAAGCTTGAAGATTATAAAACCCCGTCTTCAGAGCCTCACGGAACATGTAATGCTCATAGTTGAATTTTGTATTTTTTACTGCAATATTCATCTCATTATTAAAAACCCGATCTGCAAACGTATATTTACCTCCTACTCTTAAAGATGACTCCGTGGTATGCATGACCTCTTTCATCCATGAGAGTTCTTTAGTAAGCCGCAAAACAGCAGCATTGGCAACACCTGACGAAAAATTTGCATCATCAAGACCATCACCAGCATCAGCTAGAGCGAATCTGATGGCATCAGCACCATACTCTCTAAGACTGCTGCGCAGAGTCATGAAGTTCCCAGTACCCTTGGCCATTTTCTTAGCATTCAACATGAGGTGACCATTGCACCTGAAGCCACGAGGCCAGTGGTGCTTGGGCAAGATTGCTGTGTGATTGTATATGCAGAACATTAAATGATTTTGAATCAGATCCTTGCCTGAAACCCTGAGATCAAAAGGATACCAGTATTCAAACTCTTGTTTCATCAAATTGAGAATTGAACAAGGAATGTCAGAGGATGTAGGGTATGGACCACCACAGAAAATAAAGTCCCAAACATCACCTGTCATTTGTTCGGGTCTTATGGATGAGTTCGATCGTGCACCATAAATATCACCACCATGCAAAAGATGAGAAACAGTGTAGTAAGCCATATATAGAGACGAGTCAGAAAGTGACTCCACAAGAAACTGCTCATCCCATGGGATCCGAGTTCCAAGCCCAAACGACTGTGAGCATGCCCATTTGTTAAGCCAACTTAGTGAATGCTCAAACCAGTGTCTTGCTTCGTCAGAGTATAGTTTCATGCTCGACAAGCATTCCTCAGCCATTTTCTTCCACTCAACTTCACCATATGTGATAAACCATTGTTCTGTCAAAGCCACAATGCATTCATCACCAGATCTTGATATGACTTGACTTGCTGGTTCGTAATATAGAATTGCTCTGTGTGTTTCAATCAGTGATTTATTGATAAGTGGCTTTACTATGTTGATTCCCTTTCCGGCATGTTCCCCAACAAGCAGCTTTCCCTCAAGTGAATCTATCAATTTTGTTGCTTCTTCAAGCTTCACCTTTTCATTCTGACTAACAATTTTCATATCCTTACAAACTCTCTCTGCAACAGCTTCATCACCAAACCCGTCAACAAATATGATTGGTGTAATCTCCAACGGAAGCACCCATTCATCTTTCAAGTCATACTTAATTCTAAGATCAGGCTTCATCTTCAAGTTGTGCAACCAGATGTAATCGAGCGGCACATCACTAGGAACACTGGTTAGAATTCCTGTTCCTTTGTCAACAATCCGGGTATTGATTGTTGCCAGCATTGGAAGAACATGAAGAATTTCACGAAACGACATCGGAAATTTCAAAGGAAGCCCAATCAAATCATACCCTGTCAGCTCGAGTAAGCAACTGGTCTTCTCGGGGATTTTAGATAGCCCTTGGTATGCAAGGTTAAGGGCAGCTCGATGGCTAAGCACCAAAACATCAGTATCGTTGATTTCAAAGGCTCCATATCGACCTTCTGGTGACACCCATGCATTTGTCAACCCATACAGCGTCTCGGGCCTCGAAGTCAGGGCAGCCAAAAACACATTTTTACCCTCCAAAGCTGCTTTCATCTTTGGAGAATTGAATGGTGCTACCATCTCCATCTTAATGAGAGTGTATTCCTGAGGTTGAACCCCTTCCCCTATAGTTCTGTCATGGTCTGCACATGGTTGACCATCTAAAGGAGAAAATATTGTATGTCGAGCTTCCTTAACTATCTTCCCCATTGATTTCAGCTTGTTCATTTGCCACCTTACAAATGAATCAAAAAATGGGTTTATTTCTGTAGTAACAAAGGACCGTCTCCAGTCGCAACCTAAACCGAAGGCCTTAAGATCGTCCATGGCAACATGAGGAAAGTAACTCAACCATTTTTGTGGATCTTTAAACTTTGATATTTCACTGTCTTGAATGCCAAGATCATGCATAATCTCCCACTGGTACTTCAGCCTATTATCCTCTTCTAAGTTAGGAAATAGTGGAGGATCACCATACTGTTGGATTTCCCTTGCAATTTTATCGGCTGCTGCCTTGATCGGCATGCCAGTGCAGTGAAAAGCAAATGGCAGCAACACATTCATACCATTAAGTCTATGGTATGCAGCTGCAAATTCGAGCTTTGAAATTGAGAAGCCGTGTCCGAGGTGTAAGACACCGTTCATATAGGGGAAAGGAATATTGCCAAAGAACTTCTGCCTAAGTTGGGGAGGCTCCTGACAAGAATCAGCATTGAAAACATTGGCTTCTTTCCACCATGTCTGAGTTGTGGACTCAATCTCCAACAATGTGTTTCTTCTTGCATGGCTTATTGCCTTATTAGTCATAACATAATAAGCTAGACAAGCATAGTTTTCTGAAAGCCCAAAGTTAGCAACTACTACCGGGAAGCAAATGAGCCAAAAACAATAACAACCAAACGCAATACGAACATAATAAGCTAGAAACCATTTTTAACTAATGTACGGTATGAGACATTCTTGAAGACAGGGCGTTTTTATGACTTGTGACATAGCGTCAACGTGGCACTATGGACCACTCCATGTATTTAAAGAAAGAAGAGTTCCAAAAATGTATGATATATGTATTGATGAGAATATGTAATTATGCATATATCATTGCTTGCATATAATCAAACTTGTCAATCACTAAAGCGATGATATAGCAAAGTCGGGCTTATCTAGACCATGGGTCGTGCTCATAATGCAAACGGTTGTTGTTCTAAACCCAAACCAACCTATAGACTGAGATGTGTGATAACTGCCCTCTTACTTCCATTTCTTTAACCTTCGGAGATTATTGAGAAGTAAGAACTAATGAATAAGCATCTTTTCTAGATTAGAACTCCTACGTTGAATATTTTGCACACATATTTTTTTTTGAACCCTAGACGGTGGTGTTTAAATATAGATTTCGTGAGAAGCAAACAAATACACAGACTGGGTATCACAAATCCTAAGATTAAATTACACGCCGGTTCAATTTTATATATCAAGTTAACACAAATTTAAGATGAAGCACCTGTGAATAATGGATGTGCATTTGCACAACACACTCGGCTTGGAATGGAAAAAATGCATCTTTTATCCCGTGTCCAGATCGCCGGCAATTCTCCCGAATCCAAAAGGAATGGCCCCTCGCAACTTATTTACGATTCATCACTGCAACCAAATCAGTATCCCTCTTATTTTGGTCCGTCTTTTTCTTCATCTTTTTCCTTCTACAAGAAGAACTGCATGCAGAAAACAACCTTCAAACAATTGAGCTTCAAAAATTTTGAAAATTTGCAATTGATCCGAAACGGCCATCAGCTTTCTTTTTTCCTTCAAATAAATTTTAACCCTACATTTTAAATTTTTTGTCATTTTGTTTATTACTCCCTACTAGGTAAAAGTTGTGTCTGGTAAAAGTGACTTCTACTTTGGATTGGAATAAAGGAGAATTAGTAGAGTACTTAGGATACGAAGTGTATAAAATACTCCGTAATTCTAATCAAAATAATAAAAATAGCAACAACAACAATAACAATAACAACAAAACATGGAGGGGCTGATTTCTATGTTCTCACTCCCACTAGACTAATAGAGTCCCAACCATTTAGTGGAGTACATAAGATACGGAGTGTATATAATAATAATAATAATAATAATAATAATAATAACAATAATAATAACAATGATAATAATAACAGTATAATAATAATAATAATATATAATCCATACGTAATACAATTTTTTATTTTAATTTCTTCATCCCAGAATAGAAGTTCATCACTTTATTGTTTGTTAAAGAAGGTGGTGGTCCTCACCTCTTAAAAATTTTAACAATACAATTTTAATTTTTTTGTCATTTTGTTTATTACTAGCATGTAATAGTTATATCTAGCCAAAGTGACTTTTGCTTTGGGGTGGAATAAAGGGGAATTAGTTTCCATATTTACACTCTGCACTAATTATATTGTTTGTTTTTATTATTGTACTTGGTGGAACAAATCTATTGTCTAGGTATCATAAAATACGATATCAACAATCTCAACATTATCGGACGCAAGTACATTTTATCGATCATCTTATTTATCCGTCCGAAAGTTATATATATCATCTTGAGTGTAACATGCCTTGGAATTTTGTTTGGTTATTTGATTGCTAATAACGCTAATATACAACTGTATTTCTAATAATAATAATATTAATATTAATAATAACAATATTAATAATACACCATAATAATAATACTCCATTATAATAATAATAATAATAATAATAATAATAATAATAGTAGTACGTAGTAGAGTATTTTTTATCATCCAAAAATTAACTCCGGAGACATTCCGTTCATCCCTCCTCCAAATTCATTTTTCTATTATCTTTTATCATCTTCTTTTTAAAAATTGCGGTTAGGCACCCCAATTTTGTAGAAATAACTTCTAAATCCCATTATTTTTAAAATATACTCCCGGTATCATAATAAATCCAAAAATATGCTCTCGAGTAATTGTCCCTTTTTTCTTTTATTATTATTTTTTAAGTATTATTATTATTAGTATTATTATTCTTAGATTATTATTACTATTACTACTATTATTATGTGATTATTATTATTATTAGTACTATTATTATTATTATATTATTATTATTATATTGTTATTATTATTATGGAGTATTATTATTATTATTACTCACTTCATCATTGTCTTCCACAGCTGTCACTCGCTGCCAATTTGCCGATTGAGAAGCGTTGGATTGTCGCTGCACGCACAATAATTATTATTTTTATTATTATCATTATTATTCGGGGATATTTTTATTATTTTCATTATTATTATTATTATGATTAATAATAATAATAACAATAGCAGTAATAATAGTAGTGATAGTAATCGTAATAGTAATAATAATCATAATAATAATAAGGAAAAAAAGAAAAATACTCATAGTAAGTTTTTGGATATCTTAGAGTATCCCAGAGTATTTTTTTTTAAATAATTGAGACTTGAAAGTTATTTTTACAAAATTAGGGGTACCTAACAGCAATTATTGGGAAGAAGATGATGAAAAAATAACGGAGAAAATGAATTTGACGGATGAATGAACAGAATGTCCCCTCAGAGTTAGTTTCAGATAATTAAAGGTACTCCGGAGTATTTTTTATAAAAGATGAGATATGTGAGTTCTTATCACAAAATCGAAAGTACCCCGCAGTAATTTTGTGCACAATTGTATGTTTAAACATAGATAATTGTTGTCTATGTATGCTTCTAACACTGGTGTATACCTAGCATTTTGCAGTAACATTCTTTATAGAAAATATTTGGTGGTGCTCTCGATTTTTTGGAGTATCATTATTTTATTGGTTAGAAGTCTCAAGTCTCGGATTATATGAAATAAACTTTAGGGGTCCTTAAAATTTTTGGTAATGTATTTCAATGGGACATTCCGTATATTTGATCGTAATGATTGAAAGTTCTGTTACTTTGACAAATTCTAAATTCTACATTGATAATCATTATTGCTTTAAATCTTAATAAAATTCTTTAATTTGTCAAAGTATCAGATTATTCAATCTTAACGCCTAAGTGAATGGAATGTATTATCCAAGCATAATATTACAATTTTAAGGATTTTGAAAAAATCCCAAGATACTTTTTGCATTTTTTTCAAAAAAATTCACGGAAAACTTAAGTCACCTTTTTCTGCTCACCAACCACGATTCACCCATCCACTTGTGCTCTGTTTCATGGCACCATAATCATAAAACAGAGCAAAGCTTCTTCCACTCAGTCTTTGCCTACTCTCTCTCCGATCTCGTTCCCGCCTCTCTCTGTAATTGCAAAATGGAACGTGCTCGGAAGCTCGCTAACCGTCCGATTTTACGGCGGCTGATATCGGAAGCAAAGCAGCTCCGCGCGGCGGGCGGAACGCCGGCCCCTGCTGCTGCATTTCACACGCCGGCGATATGCGTTTCGTCTATCGCCAATTGCGCATTCCGGAATAAGATCTGTGATCCTTTTCGGCGTGGGAGTGGATTTCGCGCGGATCAGGTCCGGTCCATCTCCGTCGAGTCGTTGAAACCCAGCGACACCTTCCCGCGCCGCCACAACTCGGCTACTCCGGAGGAGCAGTCGAAGATGGCCGAGTTTTGCGGGTTCCCGAGTCTCGATGCCCTCATCGATTCCACCGTTCCTCAGTCTATTCGTATCCAGTCCATGGAATTCCCCAAATTCGACCAGGGACTCACGGAGGCGCAAATGATCGAGCATATGAAGGGTTTGGCGTCTAAGAACAAGGTTTTTAAGTCGTATATAGGGATGGGGTATTACAACACGTTTGTGCCTCCAGTGATCCTGAGGAATGTTATGGAAAATCCTGGTTGGTATACTCAGTATACTCCCTACCAGGCCGAGATTTCGCAAGGCCGTCTTGAATCCTTGCTGAATTTTCAGACTATGATTACAGATCTCACAGGTTTGCCCATGTCCAATGCGTCTCTGTTAGACGAGGGCACTGCTGCTGCAGAGGCAATGGCCATGTGTAATAACATCCAAAAGGGGAAAAAGAAAACTTTTGTTATTGCCAGGAATTGTCACCCCCAGACCATTGATGTTTGTAAAACACGAGCTGATGGATTTGAGGTCAAGGTAGTGACTGCGGACCTTAAGGATATCGATTACAAGTCTGGGGATGTTTGTGGAGTGTTGGTTCAGTATCCTGGGACTGAGGGAGAGGTTTTGGACTACGCGGATTTCATCAAGAACGCGCATGCCCATGGGGTAAAGGTTGTAATGGCCACAGATTTGTTGGCTCTGACAATGTTGAAACCCCCGGGTGAATTCGGGGCTGATATTGTTGTCGGATCTGCTCAGAGGTTTGGTGTTCCTATGGGATATGGTGGTCCTCATGCGGCTTTCCTGGCCACATCCCAAGAGTACAAGAGAATGATGCCAGGGAGAATTATTGGTGTGAGTGTTGATTCTGCAGGGAAACCAGCTCTGCGTATGGCAATGCAGACCAGGGAACAGCACATCCGTAGGGATAAGGCTACAAGCAACATTTGCACTGCTCAGGTTTTGCTTCCCTATTGATTCCATCATAGAGCGACTGGTTTGTTATGTTTAGTTATACATTCAATGAAAGTTGTTTGAAGATCTCTAGCTGGTTCAAATCTTGTTTACTTAAGAAAATTCAAAAAGCACTTTTTAAATGTGAACTACGCAGTAATATCTATAGTAGCTTTACATTTAACTTTTGCTTTATTGGAAACAAATCTACTCTTTCCAATCTAACTTTTTTTTTGAAAGAACAAACTAACTTTATGAATTGATATTCAAACTGAATTCTGAACTCATACGGACTAGACTAGAGGATGTTCTTGAATTATATCAAGTGCTTATTATTCATTGATTCAGATTCAAGGTCACAAATTTTTTACTAAATCGTATTGCTACAAAAAGGGTTAGCTGATCAATTATTAACTGTCGGTTTGGATTTCCCGGTTAAGAAAGCCGTTAGCGTCATTTGAACCTTCTGAAATGCTAACTTTCATTAGTTTTTAAAAAAAAATCAGATTGCACATTTTTAATCTAACTAAAAGGGTTTTGGCGAACACACCTTTTGCTTGCTTTTAACTTTTTAAACTATTAATGGAGCAAATTTTAACAAATTCATATTTGAGCTATTTTTATAAAATACAATATCCAAACACTAATTTTGTTGTTATGAACTCATTGTTACCAAAATAACTCTATTTAAATGGACTTTCCACTAACAAACTGAAGTCCAAACAAGCAATAAGTTGGAGCTGTTTTGGTAGGCGTTGCTTGCCAATATGGCTGCTATGTATGCTGTTTACCATGGGCCAGAAGGGCTTAAAACAATTGCTCAACGTGTTCATGGCCTTGCTGTAACTTTTGCTGCCGGAATGAAAAAGCTCGGGACAGTGGAAGTCCAGAGTCTTCCATTCTTTGACACTGTGAAGGTTTCGTGTGCTGATGCAAAAGCAATTGCTGGAGCTGCTTACGAAAATGAGATTAACTTGAGGATTGTGGGAAACAACACCGTAAGTTTGGTTTGGTTAATGTGCTCATAACACTTCTACATACATTATGAAGTGAAATGGAATGCTATTGCTGTTTCAGATAACTGTTTCATTTGATGAAACAACCACATTAGCAGATGTCGACAAGCTGTTCGAAGTTTTTGCTTGTGGGAAGCCTGTAAGTGCCACTGCTAGGTGTTTTTTTTTTCCATTGTGGTGGGCATTAGAGGTTTATTTATTCATTATGTTATTGATTTGAATTTCCAGGTGTCGTTCAGTGCCCAATCTATTGCACCGGAGGTTCAAAATGCAATTCCTTCCAGTCTTATAAGGGAGACCCCCTATTTGACTCACCCAGCATTCAACATGTATGGCCGTTATTACTTAATGAATGCAATCAACTCCTTTTATTCCAAAATAGCTGTTGCTCAAGATACTACTCCGTATAGAATGGGCTCTTCATACCACTCATTAATGCATCAAGGATATACAAAGTTCTATAGAGAAATTTGTCATGGGTTCACACTGGGTTTTTCGTTGTTATATACAAAGTTCTATAGAGAACTAGAATTGTGGGAAATGAGCAATTAATTCTCCCTAGATATTTGAAAGTAAACATGCTTTGGAACAAATTAATTTTCTAAAGTTCTATTACTTCTATAAAGAAGTTGAATTGTGGGAAATGAGCAATTAATTCTCCCTTGATAGCAGGAAATTAACTTTATGGTGGAAAGTGTTATTCTAGAAAACAAGCTGTTCCATGTATAATATGTTGGAGTATAACATTTTGACACACAGAAATAGAAAACCTAAAATTGTTTCTGGGAAGTGACTTTCCGTTTTAAAATGGGCAGTCATTTCCACAAAAATGTTCAGACTTGTGAAAAATATCCTAGAAATGCCAAACATAGAAAATGTCTCCTGAAAAATGCTTCATTGTGCCAAACACAGAAAAGTCCAGAATGATGAAAACATTTTCCCGGATACAAACAGAGCCTAAAGTGACAATAATTTAGGAATGGAGGCAGTCTTAATTTTCTCTCTGTTGTATACTAAGTGTTGCCTTGCTTCAGGTACCATACTGAGCATGAGCTGCTCAGGTACCTTCACAGGCTGCAAGCGAAGGATCTTTCTCTGTGCCATAGCATGATTCCTCTTGGATCCTGTACTATGAAACTGAATGCAACATCTGAGATGATGCCAGTTACATGGCCCAACTTTACAGATATTCATCCGTTTGCACCTACTGAACAGGCTGCAGGTTTCCAGGTGAACTATATGTGTTCTAAAAATAATATTTTCTTGTGCAATTGCTCTAGGTTAACAGAACAAATGTAACTGACATATATTTTTAACCCAGGAAATGTTCAGTGATTTGGGTGATTTATTGTGTACAATTACTGGATTTGATTCATTTTCCTTGCAACCTAATGCTGGTGCTGCTGGAGAGTATGCTGGATTGATGGTTATTCGTGCATATCATCTGGTACTATACTCTAGTCATTTAAAGAACTCCATCTCATTAAGAAAAATACTTTCTATCTTTGAAAATATCTTATTTTTGAGTATATAAACTAAGAACTTAGTTTTTTTGTTACATACTGTGTGAAGTTTGCCTTGTTTCAGAGCTAGAAAGAGTATTGCATTCCAATGAAATCATGAACTGTCTGGTTTATGGTGCTTACATACCAAGTAGAAATAATGAACTCGTACTTTAATTTTAATGAAATTTCTTGTCACATTTGGTCTTTCTAATTACTTATCTGAAAATAAATAAAAATGAAATTGTACAAAACCTGGCCAAATGCATATTCATGTACCCCAAAAAATGAAAGCCGGGGAGCAAAACAGAAATGAGCTAGTCATGGGATCAAAAGTGGAATACACACACACACACACATAGAGAGAGAGAGAGAGATTATAATTGGATGTTCCATTGTTGTAGATGTGTCTCAACTCTCAAGCCATATAATTTGGATCTTGAAACTTGCAATTTGCATTACTATTTAAAGTTAAGTTTCATCATTCTATCTATCGTAGCCATCAATTCTGTTTGTACGATTTGCACTGTGTCAATCTCCTGATAAGCTTTATCAATCTTCTCGTTGAATGTTTACTGTAGTCAAGAGGTGACCATCACCGCAATGTATGCATTATACCGGTATCAGCACATGGAACAAATCCTGCAAGTGCAGCCATGTGTGGAATGAAAATTGTAGCTGTTGGAACTGATGCAAAAGGAAATATTAATATTGAAGAACTAAAGAAGGCTGCTGAGGCCAATAAGGAAAACCTGGCTGCTCTTATGGTATATCTACTTTTCATTGAATGGTGGTTTTGGACTGACTTTTGGGATTTGTAAATTGTTCATGAACTTCAACTTCAAATTTATATTTCAGGTTACTTATCCTTCAACACATGGTGTCTATGAGGAAGGAATTGATGACATATGCAATATAATTCATGATAATGGCGGTCAAGTTTACATGGATGGAGCAAACATGAATGCACAGGTGCTATCACCTATGGAATCTTTATTTTGTTTGACACATTATATCCTGATGAGTTATGTAACTTACCTTGCAGCATCCTATTTAGAGGGTGTTTGTAATGATGGAAAGTAATTCATTTCCCACCCATATACTTTCCATCATGACAAATAGATATTGAACAACGCTGGAAAGTAGTTTTCAATTTCCCTTTCATTTGAAAGTAGATGATAAGGGAAAGGGTGGGAAAGTGAATTAAGTTCCACTCTGACCACATCTCAAGGAAAGTACCAAACGGAAAATACCTTAGCATGACAAGCTTTAGTTTGTTCGTCAAAAGCTTAAGAAGACCCCATATATGGAGTAGTAGAGATCAATGGATTGAATCCAATGTACTATTTTAATTTTTTTTATGGATGGACTGATGGATTTAGTTTTGGATGGGCAGGACGGATGATTTACCCTTGAATTATGTCCTTGGCTAAGTTTTTTTCTTTTGCAGGTTGGTTTGACAAGTCCAGGCTTCATTGGAGCAGATGTTTGCCATCTTAATCTCCACAAAACATTCTGCATTCCTCACGGTGGAGGCGGTCCAGGCATGGGTCCCATCGGTGTGAAGAAACACCTTGCGCCATTTTTGCCTTCACATCCAGTGGTATGCCCTCGAAGGAATTGCACCTTGTTTTGTTGTAAGACAAATGGAATCTATTCCCTTGTGGTGATAGATTTAGTCCACAGTCATTGATATCATCCTCACATTTTGACTTGTGTTTCGAAGGTTCCAACTGGAGGTATCCCTTCCCCTGAAAAGAGCCAGCCTTTGGGTACCATATCAGCTGCTCCTTGGGGATCTGCACTTATTTTGCCAATATCATATACCTATATTGCCATGATGGGGTCAAAGGGACTTACTGAAGCATCAAAGATAGCCATCTTGAATGCAAACTACATGGCTAAACGCTTGGAGGTCTGCTGCTTTAGTTATCATTCCTTCTGTTAAATTGTGCCTAACTCGAGTCAAAAAGATTCATAAGAGACGAGGTTTATCTCACACTCATATACTAGGTGAAAATACTAAATTCAAACCCAATATGCAATTGACGTGAGATTGTGAGATGCTCAACACACACACCCTCAGCTAATATGTTGGACAATCAATGGGCCCCCAAACGGGTTGCCCTAAAACCATCTAGTGGGGTCACACTCCACAAACCCTTAGGACCAGATTGTCATATCATGTTAAATTAGGTCTAACCAACTCAGAGATAGTCTTCAAGGCACTGACTTAACTCACACATAGATACTAGATTCGAACCCAATAAATAATTGATATGCGAAATTAAACACCTAATTTAAAATTACACGTATCTGTATGCTGTTGTCTTTAATCTCAAGTGTTTGGAGGGAACACTAATTAATATTTTCTGCTTTGTGTGTAAACAGAGCCACTATCCGGTTCTATTCCGTGGTGTCAATGGGACATGTGCCCATGAATTCATTATTGATTTGAGGGGATTCAAGGTAGCACTCTTCCTATAAATTATGTATCTCTGACATATTTTGTTATGCTTCTGCATTTAAACCTTAACTGAGGATTGGTTCAGAGCACTGCTGGAATCGAGCCTGAAGATGTCGCTAAACGTCTTATGGACTATGGTTTTCATGCACCAACTATGTCATGGCCTGTCCCGGGAACACTAATGATTGAACCAACCGAAAGTGAAAGCAAGGTAAAATGACGCATATTGATGTCAAAATGGATGTCTCTATGCATGTATAAAAAACCATGATTATGGTTTAGAATTTTGATATTGTTATTCCTTCGTTATGAAGTGGTGACACTAAAACATATGGAATTAAAAAATTCCAGATTGCACTGTGGCTTGCATGAATTTGAAGTGTTAATCAATTTTATACGGAGTACATAATTTTATCCACTTATAGTAAGTAAAATATTTGAGAGAATGAAAAGTTTGAAATACCTCTATTCGTATGAATTTGACAACCATTTGGGATGGATGGAGTATTTCTTTTTTCTTCAGTTTTGTGTTCTGATGCTATTCATATGTGGCGTATAACTTTTGCAGGCAGAGTTAGACAGGTTTTGTGATGCACTCATTTCCATTAGGGGAGAAATTTCTCAGATTGAGAAAGGGGAGTTTGATATTAACAATAATGTTCTTAAGGTATGTTAATCTATTTTGCACCATTGCTTCTATCAAAACAAATCCGCTAAAAGTTTTACTCTGTTTTTTAGGAATAATAATAAATCTTAAGTAAGAATTTGATAAATAAGACTGTTTTCACTGCAGAATGCACCTCATCCACCATCTGTGCTCATGGCGGACGAGTGGAAAAAACCATATTCTAGGGAATATGCTGCTTTCCCTGCTCCCTGGCTGAGAACTGCCAAATTCTGGCCATCTGCAGGTATTTTAATTGCTCCAGCAACTGATATACTTCCTCTGTCTCCAAAAGAAATTCCCACATTCCTTTTTCATTCGTCCCAAAATAAACTTCCCCCTTTTCTTTTCATAATAGGAAATGAATTAGTGGCTTACAATGGAGTTTCTTTTACACTATGTTTGGTTCAATAAATTTGGAAGGAAAAGAAAAGAAAAGGGTTTCTCTCCACTTAATACATTTTGCCTTCTCATTTTCTTTTCCTCTCTAACCATACAAGAAAAATGGTTTTCCCTCTCATTTTCTTTTCTTTTCCTGTCCAAATTTCTTGAACCAAACATAGTGTTAGGAAGGGAGGGAGTATTTAATTACTCATCAAATGTTTCCAAGGAAAATAGCATTAATAAAAACCAATACTCCGTACAATACATACTCTGCAGCCCCCCCCCCTCCCACCCCCCACATAAGAAAACATAAGAAAAATGGTTTTCCCTCTCAATTTCACTTTTTCTTAAACTCCGTGCAAATTCAAACTAAAAGGAGCAATTTGGGACGGAGGGAGTAGAATGAAAGCCTGAGAATCTGAAACTATGAATTGAAACTGCGAATTACTGAGTTAGAAAATATGATGTTTGACAGGGCGTGTGGACAACGTGTATGGAGATCGCAACCTTGTCTGCACTCTCCTCCCGCCATCACAGATGGCCGAAGAGCGTGCCGCCGCTGCTGCCACTGCTTAAGTAAGAATGTCTCTTCCACAGTTCACAAGTACACACAGATACCACATTCATTATCATTATTATTTACAATGTGAACAGTTCACAAGTACACACAGATACACACAGATACCACATTCATTATCATTATTATTTAGCTGCAGTTGATTTCTTTCAGTTTTCTTTTTTATGTTTGTTTATAGTATACAGTATATAACTGCAGCTAACTGCTGTTGTGTAATTATTATTACTATTCTCGTTTATCTCCTTTTTTTCTCTCAAAATGAGTTGCACAATTTTGCAAAGTGATTGATTATTGGGTGTTGGTGATTTTATTGTCATCAGCAATATTGTGTAATTGGATTTACGTAGATCAGACAAAAACTGTAATAGACGCTGTGTAACGAGTTAGGAGGCGCGGAGTGCGCACTCGTTCAACAATATTACAAATTCATAACGGGAGTTCGGGGGCGACAGCCCTGGGTAGCGGGATCCAAGGGGCAGCAGCCCCTAGGTAGTGGGATCCAAGGGGCAGTAGCCCCTAGTGGGGTCCAATGGACAGAGCCCTGGGACAATTTTCTTGAACGGAGCCAAGACGTTAAATGATTTTGACGTGTGGATAAACACTAAATTAATCCAAGAACTGCAAGATTCCTTTCGCGCGAACGCTTGTCTCCTTAAGCAAATTTTTGCGTTTCACAGACTTATCTTCTTGCATGAAAGTTCGCGTGTTATGTGAACATTCATGTCTGATCTTAAATTTTTGACTCAATAAACAGAGTCTTGTAGGTATGGTTGAGGTTTTCGATTTTCAGTATTTATTCTTGATTAATGTCTTATTCGATTAAAGTATTACGTATACCCTGAAATAATTTTGATCTGAAAGTGTTTTACGTGATTCGTTATCCTCTATCAAATTGTTCTTCTCGTTCTTTGTTAACGCTGCTCTGCGGCGTTCTTCCTCCATTCCTATTTCTAACATTGGGTTTGGTTGCTTGGTAAAACTTCTTACAAATTACTTACTCCATACTCTTTCCATGTTGCAAAAATAAAATCTCTTCCCCTTTTTGTCTCACCAAAAAAAACTATAGATAACCAACTCTTGCAACAGGACAGTATAAATGGCACTTCAGCTATAGATACATATTGTAAAACTTTGCTATAAATGTCGCTCAAGCTATTAAGTACAGTATGTCTCTCAAGTTCGACACCAGAAAATAACTCAACCTCTCACACCTAAATACAATGCCTAATTTGATAAAGGTAATAGTTTAAGATTAGAATATTGTTTTAATACCTTTATATTTTGTCATTAATACTTCTTTAGTTCCCAATAGATGTGTATATGTCTCTCAAGTTACCCATAGATCTGTATTACCAAAAAATTACTCAATATCTCACACCTAAAAACAATGCCTAATTTGATAATGAAAATAGTTTAAAATTGGAATATCTTTTGAATACCTTTATATTTTGTCATTAATACTTCTTTAGTTCCCAATAGAACATAAATTTTCTACATGTAACATTGGCTTTCAATGTTATAGCATAACTCGAGGCTCTTACAACGCTCTGTTCGTTTCTACCCCCGACCAACCT